AACCAGAACCATCAGAACTGAACCAGAACCATCAGAACTGAGCTTCTCCACAATCTTTGTAATGTGGATCAGCAGCTTATTTGAATGACCCAGATCCTCCATAGCATCCACCCTGTCAGTCTGAAACCATGAACTGCTGACTCCTACAAGTCTGCTCAGATGCATGCTGGGTAAAGAGGGAGGGGCCAGAACAACAGCCAGGGACTTTGTCCGTTCTCAGTTTGCTGTTCTAGTGAACTGGAACAGCATTAGGGCTGAGGATGACGTTGCACGAGGACACGAGAATGCACAAGTACACAGATTGAAAAAACAGCCTCTGATTCTGTCCGTCAGCTTATCCACTCTAAGCCCCACCCACTTTCCCACCACCTGTCTTAGTTTCATCAGCTGGGTTCATTGGAGCCAACGGAAGGTGTGATGTCAGAGTAGAGGGACAGACTCCATCTCCTGCTGAGCTCACCATATGGACAGAACCGGTCTGAACCAGAACCTGGACCCACCTGGGTGTGTACTCCATTTTAGAGTGGACCTGATAGAGCCATCCCCCATCAGGAAGCTCCTCTGTGGAAGTGACATCAGCGGTGACCTCCTGTCCGTCTCTGAGCCAGCTCACTCTGATAGGTTTGGGGTAGAAGCCATAGACGCTGCAGGTCAGCAGGGCAGGATGGCCGCCAGCAGGCAGCTTTATGGACCTCAGGGTCACAGACGGCCTGACTGGAACATCAGGATGAGGGTTAGAATCATTGATTAGCTTCTTCAGTGTTGGATCCTTCAAGTCATCTGGTGCGTTTGACATTTGAACACATCACAAGTCATAACCGGCAATGGATGCATAACTGCCTTATAGGTATCAATAATTATCATTGGTAGTTCTAAATAGGGTTCGAGTATTTCCCTATATAATACCGATGCTAGTAACACCACATACTAACGTGTCTTCAACTTTCTTTATAAAGTAATGCAGCTTTATTTCAAAAAGGCTTTAAACAATAATGTAACATCATATTTTTCTACATTAGATCACTGGAATAGGACTAGAGAGTCCCTTTCAGATACGGTAACCAGACGTCCCTGATTTCTGGGGACAGTCCCCGTTTTGGACCACCAGTCTAACCTGGCTAAAACTGTCCCTGGAAATGTCCCAGATCTTACTTGTTTATGAATGAGGGTGGAAAGTGTTGTTTGTAGGCTGTTATTACGGTAGAAACTGCGTGTGGGCAGGCTGTGCGCAGTTATAGCTGTACTTTTTTTGGAATTACTGAGAATCTTCACCAGCACTTAGAACTAAGCATAGACTTGCAGGGTTAGATCTACTTTTCTACCACTCAGGTTGAATCTATGGAAGTTCCTCATTATAAAAAATAAGAGGCAGTAGAAGGAAAACTGAATGAGACAAGATCTGCGCGATCTGAGAATGAAGGAGGAAGAGATGACCGCCTGTTTCTATTTTCCACCTGAGCCGAGGAAAATAGAAACACTGATGGAAAGATCAGTTAAAGGGAAGGAAGAAAAATCTACTCAGAAGCGTCGACTGAATGACCAGATGGCACTAATAACCACTATTGATTGATTCATTTGATTAATCTTAGGAAATAGGAGAGGCACATTCCTGGATTTTACACCTGATTTTTGTTGTTTAAATAATAATAAATATGTAAAAATGGATGACAGCGTCACTATCCCAGATTACTATATTAATTTTGATGACATGTATTTATTTTGAGCTAGTGGAAATGTCCCCAGATTGGATTTTTGGGTAATCTGCTCACAATACTTGCAGATGAAGTCGCACATGTCTGCTAGTTATTAGCTCCACTGTCTTATTAAACAAAGCACTTAGATTTATGATCAGTTTGTCTTCAGACAATTTTTATCAAGTGGGAATGCTTAAGCAATTAAACAAATTTGGTATCAAAACGTTCAGCTTGTTCAGGAGAATGATGCTATATCTTTTGGTAAAGATATTTTTTGTATTTTTCGCGATATTCAGCTTTTTCTGCGATTTTTGGCCCCATTTGAAATGCATGTAGAATTCTCAGATTTCAGCAAAATTCAGGTAAAGCTTCAACATCTTTGCCCTTTAACTATTTCAGCATACTTTCAGCTAGAAACACCATTCAACTTTTAAAATGTTTCCGTATCTTTCTGCTATTACTCTTTAACTCGGCTTTCAGCTAACTTTTATAGTTTTACTTCAGTGAAGCTTCAAACTTTAAAAGAAGTTTTAAAGATTTTCAGATTTATAATGGAAGTCTATAGACGGAATTCTTCAACTGCTAGAGTGCGTGCTCTAGCTTTTGAGCTGTTCTGGTTTTTCGGAACAAATTCTTCTCACTCCCTAATTTTTCACTCAATTGAAATAAATTTTACATCAAAACGCAGGGATTTTTGTCAGGATTCAGGAAATGTAACCCTCATTTGTGTGAGATTTAGAGTTTTCCGACAGTTTGGCCCAGACCGCGAAGAAGTCCACACTTCCCCAATAGAAATCTAATGAGAGACTTTCCAAAAATCGCAGACAAAATCCAAAACGATACATATTTTCGTATCGCTCCCATTTATTAACTATTTGATGTACTAACATGAAACTTGGTATACAACATCTTTAGAACCTTCTAGCACTGACATTGACGGAATTTCTTCAATATCATTT